TTGCCTAAATGCCAGTCGTGAATGTCAAATGCACCAATGCCCCCGCGTCATTTCCTTAGTACGAAATGAAAGGAGATAATTCGTTGCGGCATGACAAAGCCCTCTCAACGCATTTTCCAAACGGTACAGCGGCGTTTTCAAAACGCCGCCTCACCAAATAATAGTGGGTCCCATTTTTTTTTATTTTTAAAGTTTTTGATTGAACACTTGACGCAATTTGCGTCCGATATCCGGTTCGAAGGACAGAGCTATTGGACTAGGTCTCGTCGGCATAGCACTGAGTTAAACTATCTTTTAAAGTACACCAGTCTTATGTATTTACATATCTAACACCAAAATTTTTATATTTATAAATACATCATTTACATTTGTATGAAAAGTTTCATTTCTACTTTAGAAAATGATAATAACAATATGTGATATTAAATATTAGAATGTTATGCACGTACACTTAAGAATTTCAATGTGAGATATTTAAATACATAAATCTTGTGTACTATCTTTGTAAATGTCCTTTATTTAAATACTCATATAAATAATATATCAATCATTTTATATATAGTATAGAAAGATTAGATTTCATATTTTCATTCAATTTATTATTTCATCTATGTGTGCCCATAATTGTTAGCATGATCTCAGAGGAATCTCATGGCCCCAAAGACATGTGTTCTCAAAGATGGTCCACTAGAAGTCAATGATCACGTCAACTTGAACCCGTGAAATCTAATGTCTAACTAGAGCTTATGTAAGAAAGTGTACCGGACTTAATGAAAAATCCCTTAGGACAAGATCCAGGGAATATCCCCCAAGACAAAAGAATCATTTAGCTCCTCAAGAAAACACCACAAATCATCTCAAAAAAAATGTTAGAGACCCTTCAAGTCAACATGAAGGGTCTTGTTGACTTGATCATTGATGAAGGGTCTCTAACATTTTTTTTGAGATGATTTGTGGTGTTATCTTGAGGAGCTAAATGATTCTTCTGTCTTGGGGGATATTCCCTGGATCTTGTCCTAAGGGATTTTTCATTAAGTCCGGTACACTTTCTTACATAAGCTCTAGTTAGACATTAGATTTCACGGGTTCAAGTTGACGTGATCATTGACTTCTAGTGGACCATCTTTGAGAACACATGTCTTTGGGGCCATGAGATTCCTCTGAGATCATGCTAACAATTATGGGCACACATAGATGAAATAATAAATTGAATGAAAATATGAAATCTAGTCTTTCTATACTATATATAAAATAATTGATATATTATTCATATGAGTATTTAAATAAAGGGCATTTACAAAGATAGTACACAAGATTTATGTATTTAAATATCTCACATTGAAATTCTTAAGTGTACGTGCATAACATTCTAATATTTAATATCACATATTGTTATTATCATTTTCTAAAGTAGAAATGAAACTTTTCATACAAATGTAAATGATGTATTTATAAATATAAAAATTTTGGTGTTAGATATGTAAATACATAAGACTGGTGTACTTTAAAAGATAGTTTAACTCAGTGCTATGCCGACGAGACCTAGTCCAATAGCTATGTCCTTCGAGCCGGATATCGGACGCAAATTGCGTCAAGTGTTCAACCAAAAACTTAAAAAATAAAAAAAAATGGGACCCACTATTATTTGGTGAGGCGGCGTTTTGAAAACGCCGCTGTACCATTTGGAAAATGCGTTGAGAGGGCTTTGTCATGCCGCAACGAATTATCTCCTTTCATTTCGTACTAAGGAAATGACGCGGGGGCATTGGTGCATTTGACATTCACGACTGGCATTTAGGGA